CGTCATCGTCATCATCACTGATGACGTCACCGGCATCCGCATCGTCATCATCACTGATGGCGTTACCGACATCCGCATCGTCATCGTCATCATCACTGATGACGTCATCAGCGACGTCACTGATGACGTCACCGACATTCGCATCGTCATCGTCATCATCACTGGTGAAGTCATCAGTGACGTCACTAATGACGTCATCGGTACCCGCATCGTCATCGGCAATGATGACGTCATCAGTGACCTCAGTGATGACATCATCGTCATTGGGGGTCACGTGACCCCCAAGGTCACGCGACCCCCCCCTGGTTAGTTTAACCCCCCCCCCCAGTGCCCTTCCCTCCTCCTCCTCAAGAGCTGCGCTCTAATTCGGCGTTACAGGGAGTTGTAAGCAGCTTTCACTTTTTAACAAGATATTGGTATGTTCGATGTGATACTGCTCTTTTGAACACATGTAGACCTTTTCCGTGTAATCTCGTCCCCAGTCACCTAATAGGCGTATCCGGTATGGGCGACGAAAAAATAATAAAATGTTTCAACCTGTAACCAGTAAAAAAACAGAAGGGAGGCAAAACGAGAATGTATGACGGTTACGCTTATATCTTAAATGGCTTCTGTTGGCGTGGCGACGGCAAAACAATGTTTTCGCCCATACTGGAAGTGACGACAATTCAAGATGGCGGCGCCCTTGCGGAAAAGGTCTATAGACCAAAAAAATGAGCGCCGAAATTTCGCTGTAGTATCCCTTTAAGACCCGTTCACACTCTTGCAACCAAGTATACGACCGAAAGACCAGACCGGTTTTTAAGCCTCTTGCGATCTCTTAGGACCAGCTCCGTTGTCGCGCATCCGGTCCTAAGAAGTCGCAAAAGGCTTAAAAACCGGTGAGGTCTCTCTCGGTCGTAATCGGATGCAAGAGTGTGAACGGGCCTTTACTTAAGGCAACCTACGACGAGATAGAGAGAACACTGGATCCATCTATTGGCTCAATCTTAAAGGGAAACTGAAGCGGTTCCGTATTTTAGGAAATATACATAAATCATCTTCATTTGGCCTTTACAATCACGAAAATCCAGATTAGTTTTCAATTTGGTGCACGGAGGCTGCAGAAATTCATTTTTAAAATATCTCTGAAGCTCCTTGATCCTTCTCAGGACGTGAAGTCATATTAGGAGTTTTCGGAATCTCCGCTCTCGCGCATCTACAGCGCCTATCAGAGCTATGCACGCGCGCTCTTGCTATATTTTGGAAAACAAAGGTCAGAAAGGGACGTCGTGACTGGTGTTTTTTTTTATAGTGGGGTCGAATATACCTGCCAAGCTCGCAATTGCACGCGCTGCTCACACGAGCGACACGCGCTTGGTGGCGCAAAGATCCTAGAACGACATCAAGACTGGTCGTAGGTTGTTCGTGGTTTCTCGCATTTAGTTAATCTTCGGGGAAAACGAACGTGATATTCAAATTTACGGGACAAAAATACTGCAAAAATTACCTCCAACTATTTTTTTTAAAGAAATGTTTTACTTTTATTTATTTTTTATTTATTTATACAGTACCTACATCGCCCAGAGGGCATTAGAGTAGGGGGGTTAAAATACATAAAAGATGGTTGCATCACACTTGTTAAACGCAAGTAAAACATAGTGCTTGAAAGCACCAATACACAAAAAAATGCAAAAAACATCAAAGATCTGTTGCAAGAAAAAAGGAATACAATCAGCAAGCACATTACAAATCAATTAACAGAAAACACGATACAAGTATAACTAATAAACACAATACAGGATATTGAACACTGAGGGAGTTTTATAGGTCCAATAGGAGAGAAGAAAAGCTGGCATCTGAGGTTTCTGTCACCACAAGTTCAGGAAGGGCATTCCACTCATGAATGCTCTTTGGAAAAAAGGAATGTTTAAACAGTTCTGTTCTAACATCTAATTTCTTTTATTTTAAGCGAATGATCTACCCTTGAGGAAATGTAATCAGGACTATGAAGATACTTATCCTTGTTAATGCGTGTGTTCTGTAGGAAAATACTTCTAAAAAGTTTTAATCGCAAGCACTTTCGTCGTGAAGCCAGCAAGTGCCAGTTAAGTTGCTCTTTAAGTTTGGTGACGCTTGACCGAAAGGCGTAGGTATTTGTAACAAAGCGCGAAGCTCTATTTTGTACGCGTTCAATTTTTGAGGACAAGTTGAGAAAATGAGGGTCCCACACTGAACACGCGTACTCTAAGATAGGCCTAACGTTAGTAGTGTATAGCAAAGCTTTTATATCTTCAGGAGCCATTTTAAAATTCCTTTTTATAAAGTTTAGGACACGGTTCGCCTTCAGTGTTACTGTGTCCACGTGTTTGGCCCAGGAAAGAGTGCTGCTAAAATAGACCCCTAAATACTTTACCTCCGTAACCTCTTTAAGGTCAGTGCCGTTTAGATTGTACCTTGATAGAAAAGGGTTGCGTTTTTTGGTAAACCGAATATAATTGCATTTATTAATGTTTAGGCACATTCCCCACCTGTTACACCACGCCGCCACTGTTTCAAGGTCAGTCTGGAGTAAGTAGGAATGATCGTCGTTGCAAACTTGCCGGTAGATAACGCAATCATCCGCGTATAAACGAATACTAGATGTTAAGTTTTGAGGAACGTCATTAATATAAATTAAAAAGAGAAGAGGTCCAAGTACGCTCCCCTGGGGAACTCCTGACGTAACCGCTGCGTACGGGGATTTAACACCATTGACAACTACACACTGAGTACGATCAGTTAAGTAATCTTTCAGCCACTTGAAAAGATAACCAGGTAACCCCAAGGATGACAATTTGTGCATAAGAAGGGAGTGGGGCACTTTGTCAAAAGTTTTTTGGAAGTCTAAAAGCAAGCAGTCAGTTTGTATATTTTTATCGAATGAGAGAGAAATATCATGGACAAATTCAATCAACTGCGTAGAGCACGACAGACCCGAGCGAAAACCATGCTGCTGCGGGGTAAAATAATTATTTAACTCTAGATGAGATACAATATTTGAGTATATGATGTGTTCTAGCAGTTTGGAACACACACTAGTCAGCGATATTGGCCTGTAATTAGATACCTCGCGTTTAAGACCTGCCTTATGGACGGGTGCAATATTAGCAGTCTTCCAATCCGACGGCAGCTTGCTCGAGAAAAGCGATTTGTTAAACAATATAACTAGGAAGGACGTAATCGCGGTAGCACACGATTTTAACACGTGGTTAGGGATTCCATCTTTTAGAGCGCAGCTCTTAGGCGCCCGTTTCCGCCTTGAGCGGCGTCGCCGTCGATGTAACCGCGCGCTGCATTAAGGGGAAGTTTCCCATAACGACGTCACGAGGGTTACCCTCGTGAGGTTTACGAAGGTTACTCTCACGAGGGTTATGAGGGTTACCCTTGCGAGGATCACAAGGGTTACCCTCACGAGGGTGACGAGCGTTACCCTCACGAGGGTTGCGAGGGTTAGTTACCCACGAAAGGGTTACCTTCAAGTGGGTCACAAGGGTTACTCTCACGAGAGTCATGAGGGTTACCCTCACGAGGGTTATAAGAATTACCCTAACGTAACCCCCCCCCCCCCCCGAGATCACGTGACCCCCCCTGAGGTCATGTGACCCCTCCATGAGGTCACGTGACACCCCTGAGGTCACGTGACCTCGGGGAGTAGCCTATCCCTCATTACCCTTCCATCCTCCTCCCCAAGAGCTGCGCTCTAATCCTGCGTTACCGGGAGTTGTAAAGGGCTTTCATTTTTCTTTAAGCACTCGTAATTTGTATAGATTTCGTGTTTTTTTTTTGCGCATGATTCAAGCATGGATTTGGAAATACTTAATGTTAATAATGAAAATTTCCCATAAATACTACGTACGTTTGAACTCGCAGAATACCGAACAAACCTTCATTTTAGTTAAACGCACTTACAGGGACATCTCATCAGCCTCGCTAGCGCGATAGGGTGTTCCCTAGACGTGAAGCCGCTCTCCCACTGCCCGCGTATACGTCACACAGAACACACGGTGTCGCTGCAGACATGCACGACAGAACTATATGCGGTCATGCCTCAAGCATGCTTGCTTCATTCGTATGTGTGTTTTTAACCTGTCTTGCATGCAGTTTACGTATGACCAGCGTGACAGGGACGAAACATGAGGAACAAACACGCCCTAGACAGTAGGGGGTCTTAGGGAACCGTTTTTGGAGGTCGGATACGGTGCGATGGGTCCTCCGGTTTGAAGTGCGCATGCGCGACCACAGAAGACTCTCGCGCATGCGCAGTTCGTACCGGGGAGCCCATCGTACGTTATCGGATGTGCAAAGCGGTTCTCTAAAGCTCTCTATTAACCTTCATGGAGACGTTCGGGATCTTGGAGCTTGTGCATGATGTAAGCCGGGAGTTTGCTTTGAGCGGTGGTTTCATTTACATTTATTCCTCGGCTGTGACCATGTTGCGTGCTGTTTCTTTTTTTTTTTTTCTTTGTACGGGCGGTGGTGTGTGTAGCGTGTTTGTGCGCTTTTTTTTTTATTTTGAGCTTATCATCAATCTTTGTCGAGTCCCCTCTGCGGGGAAATGTTTCTGACCACGCGTGTGTTTGGGGCCCCCAAAGAAAGAAAGCAGTGGTCGGTATCGTTCATTAAGAGATGCATATACAGAAAACTTTAAATCGAGTAGAATTAGTGAGTCGGCTGTGCGCCTGAAACGCGTGTTCTTCGTTTGTTCCCGTTTTACTGTCTCAGCTACGGGTTCACCATTTTTTTTTTGTAAAAGAAAAAAAAATAACACACACACATAGGTATTGTGCAACAAAGAGACAGACATGTTTTATTTGGGTGATATCGACTGATGAAAGGGCTAGTGCAAACCTACAATAGGGTCAGGGTAAAATTTATAGGTGAGGCAGAGGGGGGGGGGGCACAGTTTTGCAAAGACCTGAAACGTCACGGACGGTTATGACGTGACAAACAAAAATAATTGTCTGTTTCAACAAGAGCGAGGCATTTGTATGTCTCTTTTATTCATAAAATGTCGCCCTTGGGGGTTGAGGAGTGGGGAAAGAACACCTCTTCCCCCCTGCCCCCTTTTAAGAATCCGCCTTAGGCCAGGTTTATTCACGCGTCTTAGCGCTCATTTCATCAAAAACGGTACCACTCGGACATTCCATCTCTCTTGCCTCAAGCCTTCCGCCTCTCTTCACGCACTGGATGTACCTCCGGTCGCTTACCGGGCGGGAAAAGAACCCCTCCTTGGTACACGTGAACTTCTCGCGGGTTTCGGTTTTACATGGAAGACCTGTAGGCGCGCGCGTTCTTGGGTCGGTCTCGTCAGTGTTGAGCTTTAGGGCTTTCCGAATGGCTTCCAGAAGCGGGTTCTTTTCCCACCCACACTGGCCTCTGAAGTCGTCCGTGTCGATGGACCATACCATGGCTCCAGCGAGTCCCTTTTGCAGCGCCAACTCAACCTGCAACATTTTTCCATCACAAACGGTCGTCTATTACCAGGGTTTCTTGATGTCGCTCGCCTGCAACCTTTAACGCCGAGCCGTGGAAGGAATTCCTCTATGCACAAACCAAGGCTCGGAGGGGAAGCTTTCCTTTACCGTAGCCACTAAAGCCGGGGTCATACTGCTGATACGCCATGCAAAAGACGCTCTCCAAACAGATTCGAAGGCAAGTCACCACGAGATTCGTGATTCGAATGCCGCATGGCAGCGAGTTCGAGGAGAAACTTGGCGCGGGACATACCAAACACGGTTACTGATGTTTGTAGGCTAGTTCAAACAACATCTTTGTATTATTTATAAGCAGTTTGACCCAGTTTTAACAGGATGACACCAGCAGGGAGTCTTGTTTTGGATGCCCAGTTTCCAGCGCGCGCTCGTTCCTTCCACCATACTTCTAGCTGCGAGGGCGCACTCCAGCCTCGCTCGACGTCTGACGAGACGCTGAAGTGCTCTCCGAGGTAACTAAGCTCGCGGTGGAGGTATTCCCGGTACTCTGGCGTCTCCGCTCTCTTCCACCTCTCCCTTAACCTCACCTTTTTAGTGAGGCTTCCGGCGTCGTCGAAACCAATCCACTGATCGCCCTTCACCATCACTGGTGCGTTGACGTCGGGGTCCCGCGTCACGTCCCAGCCACGAGAAGAGAGGAATGTGCAGATCTGGAAGGAGGTGATTGCAATCGGAATGGGTTGGGGACATACAAAATTGGACCTATCCTTGGCATTTCCCGAAAGCGTTCTTCGTAGCGCTTAAAGCAGCTGTGCAATTTCAGGGCTTTGCTTAAATAATTGTGGAAGTTGGTGCCTGACACTTCTGCAGTGAACTACAGAAAAAAGATTTTGCCTGAATACCCTAGTTTTTATTTAAAAAAAATGAAAAAGATCCAGGTTTTTGCCGCCTCTCAACTCGTACATCGTCTTCCGGGTCACGTGCGCAGTGACGTCACTTGAGTAGGCACGGGGTTCTGAAAAAGTTCTCTCTTTAGAGCCATCAGCGAGCAGCGAGAACTCATCCGCTCGCGACCGCGTGGCCACGTGCTGGCGGGCACCCCGCGAAATATACGGTGAAAGGAGGAAAGTCTCATCCGGGTCCGGCCATACCCGTCCTTGCCCGTCCGGCGCTGTCCCCCTCCCCCTCCGGCTTCTGGCGGCTATTCGCGGTTTTGTGGACCTAGGATAGATGGCGCCACTAAAACTCCGTATAATAAAAGTTTTGTCGATGATACCAGGGTTTTGACGCATTTATATATAGGTTGGAACGACAAGATTTATAGAAAAGTTACCTTTTATCGAGCAAGTATTCGCACAACTTGCTATCTTTTTTACAACTACCCATGTGACGTCACGCCGCTTGTTTCTCATGGCCGCCGCTCGTGGCTGCAGGTCGGGAAATATTCTAAGTTTTGCCTCGCTATTACGCGGCGGAATCGCAACATTTCAATGAAAGGAGGTGTGTTTTCTGCCATTTGTGACACAGTGAACAATATCAAAAGCAGAAAATGGCAATTCTTTCAACGTTAAAATTGTTGCACAGCTCCTTTAAGGACCCCTTAGAGTTCCTTCCTTTGCAGGCGCAGCAAGGAGGTCACTGAAAGGTACATTGTGAGGTTTTGTGAGTGTTAGTGACTATAGGAGATGTCAGTGATCGTAGGTGACTATAGGGGCCAATTTCGATATCAATATATTGCATACTCTATAGCATTGCGGTCAGTAGGTATGCTGCAGAAGCGGACGAACGTCCCAAATATGTCTCCTTCCTGCAGCAACACGCTGGAAATGTGTCTTAGTAGAAAATAAATTGTTTTTAAATACAATTTATAATTAAAAGTAAAAAAAAAGTGAAAGCCGTTTACAACTCCTTGTAACGCCGAATTAGAGCGCAGCTCTTGAGGAGGAGGAGGGAAGGGTACTGGGGGGGTCACGTGACGATGCCGATGACGTCATCAGTGATGATGACGATGCGGATGCCGGTGACCTCATCAGTGACGTCATCGGGGGTCACGTGACCTCGGGGGAGGTTGTCATGTGACCTCAGAGAGAGGGGGTCACGTGACCTCAGGGGGTCACGTGACCTCGGAGAGGTCGTGACCTGGGGGTGTTGCGTGACCTCGGGGGGGGGGGGGGGGCTCGCGCGGTGCATTATGGGACATTTCCCATAATGCACCGCGCGGTTACGTCGACGGCGATGGCGACGCCGCTTAAGCCGGAAACGGGCCCCTAAGAGCTGCGCTCTAATAATGTTCTTCTCACCGTCGGAAGCACAAGCAAGCATTGTCTCGATCGTGATGATGATCGCTACGAATGCCAGGCTTGTGCCGTCTAGCAGAAGCGAGGCGTACTGAAACTGAATTTATCGAATAACGTTGGGTCACGCAACCACTGCAAACCCACCTCATTGTAGCCGAGCATCCCCGCTTCCTTGGTGAAGGGCCCAGATTTACCGGGTCCTGACGTTGGTGCATTGAAGCCGTGTTCACTGGGGTCTTCCAGGGTGTAGGTTCGGCCGTACAGTGGCATACCGAGCACGAGTTTGCTCACGTCGACTCCTTCCGAGATCCAATTCTCGATACTGGTTTCCTGCGTCGCAAATTTCTGAATTACCACGCATGCATGCTCACCTAGTTTGCGCAGGGCCTGCAAATGGTCAGTTCAGGGCGATGCACACACACGGCAAAGGGTTGAGCAGGTCGTAGGACGCGCCGGAAAGATGCCGGAATACAGCCAGGCGCAAGCCTGTCACGGTGTCACGTGGGCGCCTATAGTACCTGATGTCTTTTCTTCATCTTAGTTCAGATTCCATATCAAGAATAAAATTAAAAATATAGGAATATGATAAAATAACTGAAAAAAGAACGAGAATGTCTTTTCTTCATTTTAGTTCAGATTCCATATCAAGAATAAAATTAAAAATATAGGAATATAAATAACTGCAATATTCATATAGATATAGATAGTGCTACCGACCTCTGCTTTGCTGTCATCGCGCGACGCAGCAGAGTCTGGTTGCACACTCTCTCCACGGGGCGCGGTGCCTCCGGGGCCGAGATGCGCTCCGATAGCAAGCCGAAACTTAAAAACCCGTCGAATTTGCGCGGTTTTCCAGAAAGCCGTAAAATGATTCGCGTGTTTTCTACCGTCCTCCAATTTGTTGATTTAGTGTTTTTTAATGATGCTGAGCGATTTTCTAATTAAAACCATGCCCTTAATAACAATATTAAAAAAAAGTTAATTACGCGAAAATAATTAACAGTCTAATTATCCCGAACTTTAATAATTTTCCTAAATAGGCCCCTGGGCCACGCCCTAAACGACACGCAATGAGTGATGGACGCTACAGTCACTGATAGGATCAGAACGGCGGGGATGACTTTCAGTGGACCCACTTCCAGCGCTTTGGCGTCGCGTGAGCTTGAACCGTGCACGCTTAGTGAATGCACGGCGGTGTTCGTAAAGCGCGTGTTGGAGGCATTCAAATGAGACGTCCTCCAGTTCTCATCCTCAGTGGCTATTGCTATCTGCAAACGTTCTTAGATCTATTTGTTGACAAGGTCGACGGAAGAGCGTCGTTAGAGGCCTCCGAAGCTGCACAGATTTGGCCAATCACTGGCTAATGGCTGGCAACGGTCCTTTGGCCAATGGCCAGACTGTGGCCAGCCATTGGCCGATGACTAGCCTTTCTCTGGCAATTATCTAATGGCCACTGGCCATGAGCCATTAGCCAAAAATTGGCCGATGAATGGCCACTGTTTGGCCGGTGGCCAGATCATCGCCAGGGTTTGGTCAATACATTGCCGAACTTCCTGCGGTTTTCTGTGGCCTGCGCGCAAGCAGATGCGGGCGGATATAGAGTGCCTTCATACAAACACCCGCATTTGCATTGGTGGTGACATCTGAAGCATTTTACCGGCAATTTTTTAAATTTTTTTTTAAGTGAGCGCTATCCGGTCTGGCTCAGCTTGAGCGCGTATATTTGGCTAATGGTTAGGCACCATTTTACAGCACAAGCCATGCACTCAGTGCGCCATTGCGTCAGTCGCTGGTCAAATCAGTGCAACAAAGGATGTTCTTTCCCTGGTACAGAAAGACATGTATAGGTAGGCTTGGCGGATCGATAGGGTTCCTATGCGGAAAGAAGGTCGTCTGCTTTTAGGACAGGAGTCGCGGTGACATCAGGACGACGCCGAGCTGTGATTGGCTTTGATTGAAAAGACGGTGAGTTGATTTTAGTGCTAGACGTCTCGAGGTGTACCCACTATTTTTTTTCAGTCAGTCAATAAAAGCTCTGTGTTCTATCATCATCGCCACCCTGCAAAAAAGCAGACCAACTTCCGCTCCGCATAGCGCCACGAGCGTCAAACCCTTCGCAGGCGACTGATAAGAACCGTTTCTAAACAAACGACGCTCTTCTTGCCCCTAATTCAGCGCTAATTTTATGTTTACCATGAAAATCAGAATACAATCCCTTTTTACCGCAGGCGATGTGCATCCAAGGTTCCATAGGTTTCGCCGCTTTTGTCCATAGGGGGAGCTGGTAGAGTAGTGAGCGCCACCGAGCGAACGTGCCATGACAAGGCGCCAGGCGTTCTAGGAAGCTTGTAACCTGTCTTTTACCTAGTAACGTTGACCGTTAGCGTCGAGATGTTTCGGTGGCGCCCTCGTCTGGTTTCCTTTCCTGACGTCGCGACCAGAATTTACCTCGTCGTGACTTCACGTGTCGTATCAGCTTTACTATTTATCATCGGTTGGGAACTACAAGTTCGATGGGGTGTATAAAAATAACAATGGGAGCTTGAAGCTGTCGCATTCTTAAACCAATAGGGTCACAGTTAACACTGATATTGCGATGATTTCCGTCGTTAAAAGACAGATTAATTAATAAAAATGAAGACGTCAAAGTGAGCATTTGACCAATCACGAATTGCGATCACAGCGACGCGTTTGGTCGCACGCGTCGCTAATAGCTATGATAAAAATGTGGCCGAAATATCCAAGCATCAAATAGTATGCCGGGAACGTAGGTACACTGCAGGATTAGCTGTTCAAAGCGGAAGCATATTAAACCATCAACATTTTGCAAATGCATTCCAGCTTTATATTTATGCAGAGAAGGTGATCGCATGCAGCGCGTTTACCTACGTTCCAAGCATTCTTTTTGACGATTGGGTGACTTAGTGAAATGATTATTGAGAAATTCGATTGTCTAGCGCAGTGGTTCCCAAACATTTACGTTTCGCAGGCCCCTTGTGGATTGGCGGAGACCATGGAGGACCGCTTTCGTGGTAAGGGGAAGGGAGAGTTATAGGTTAATTATGATAATGATTTATTGAATTGATATAACTAAGAGCTAGTGTGAAGTAGGCCTCTCATTCACATACCCACGAAAAAATTCACATAAAAATTAGTAAGTTTCTTCTCAATCTGTGAAAAAGACAACTTTTATTGCCGGGCTCGACCACCGGAATGCCTTCGCGAACACCAAAGGTTCAGCGGACTTTTATTTGAGAACCACTGGTGTAGGGCACCCAGAATGATGTCCAAATACATGTATTCTCCAGAAGAAAATCGGATTTAACGCATTTACTTTTGTTTTTTAATATTCTAGGCTTCTAATTTACTGGGGTTTCTCAGATGAGCAAAGAGCTCTTTGTTCCTTTTCCTAGACATGAAGTGTATAGACACCTTGTTAGTGTAGGGTAGAGCAGAATGTTTTGGTGCAAATCGGCTTTGTAGACGCGCAGCAAAATCTTAATCTTCATAATCACACAACATACGTTCAATGCCTACTTCTTTCGATTTGCCTTACGGACAGGAGATTCATTATGGAAGGTTTTCGATATAAACGGTTTTGTTATAGAAGGTTTTCTAAATAGCAATTTTCGTTGTAGAAGGATTTTGCAAATAACAGTTTCGTTTTATATGATTTTGATACAGACGCTTGAACTTCTGAGCGAGGCATAAATAGGCAAAGTCATAATCATATACAGTGAGCGGCTGTAACAACCAACACATTTGACACACCTCGCAAATTTTTAATTATAAACGTACATGACTGAAATAGGATACGCGAACGTTGTTTCGAAGAAGTCATTTCTATATTTTTTTGGAGCTCAACTCAGAGGAGGTGAAATATTAAAGATAAGACAAAAACGGCGGCCGAGTATTTTCTATGTCCCAGGGTGTTGGTCGTCTGCAAACTGGTTTGCAATATCCCTCTCCCAGGTGGTAATAGTTTATATATTTCTTTCAAATGTTTACTTATCCGGATAATCCAGCTCCCCGTCAGTCTGTATCTATGGCCTTTTTAGCGTTTTTGCGTGCAGGAAGTCACCCGAAACCGAGCTCGCAAACCAGCGTGAAGACGACGGACAGGCTGATTTAGGACATAGGAAGTTGACGACCGCTGTCTCGCATTATTTTCAACATTTCACCACCTCTAAGCAGACTTCTATAAAAAGAAAAAAATCACAAGAAACCTTCGCGAAACGACGTCCGCGTGCCCAATTTCAGTTATGTACGTTTGTGATTCAAATTTTACGAGACATGCCACATGTGCCGGTACTTATGTCTACTCTCCGTATTAAAGAGCGACAACAATAGCAAAGCTAGAACTGGAGAATGAGCAGGAATACATGCCACGTTCAGGGTGTGGCTCGAGTCGTCAGTTCTGCCCCGGAGCGGAGCGGGGTGCCCGGTGAAGCTGTTCCACGGACCAAACAGGTCGAAGGCGGTGACGCTCATGAAGTCAACATGCCTGCAGCACAACGTATCAGGCACGATGAATAAGCTCCGCCACATCCTCTTCAACAAACCGTTGCTCTCTCCGAGGTAAGGCGCTTCTGGCCCCACACCGCGGCCTTTGCCTTGCGCCAAGGCAAGTCGAGACGCTTTATTTGTGCTAAAGCGGCATGCTTTCTGCGCCCGCGCCGTACCTAGACCTATAGGCCAACGCGCTGTTTACCAAAGAGCCCTCGCTTGCCACGTCATCAGGTGTGGGCACTGCGCAGAAACGGGTGGGAGCTGACGTGTCTGCACCTGCGCTGTGCTAACAGCAGCGCCAGCGTATCCACGTGACATGAGAGTCGATCCTGGGCAACGTTACTACAAATACTTTACTAGGGGGAATACATTCCACTCCTCTCAAATACAATAGCCTCGGCGCGGACAGGTTTCCTGGGCTTGGCGCGAGCCATTTATCGTCGTGGAAATCTAGGTTATCGGGCGGTAAATGATGATGATAATGATGGTTGTTGTACATAACAAATTCATTGTTGTGGAAATGCTCGAGACACGTGCCCAGGCGCCACTTCTAGGATAAAAACATGGCGTCTAAAATCTAGCTCAATGCTCCGCCAAATACTTTTCTGAGCTGTGCCGCCATGATCTTCTCAAGGGTCGCACGTCGCACGTGCCTCGTGCATCGACGCACCTTGCGTTACTTTTGAAACATGCCGGGGCTTTAGGTGGAACCGGAGACGACACCGCCGCGGCCGCCGCGAACATCTACGTGCACATGCGCGTGGACTGACGCGGACCTCCACTCAGTCAGGGCTGGATTCGGCGTTGTAGGCGTTCTGTCTCATGCAAATGAGCGGAATGGAATGTATTCCCCCTAATAAAGTATTTGGTTACTTGATTACCTCAGTTGTGGAACTCCCGCGGAAAAGGAACCCCCCCCCCCCCCCCCCCCCCCACCACTCACTTCAATCCGCTTCCCGTCGTTCGAAGCGCCATCCACACTTTCGTTTACGCACTGTGTGTTCCATAGAGTACGGTGGAACGCCATCTAGACGCTGCGCTTCGAAACGTACGTATTCCATAGGAGACATTGCAGTTACCAAAGCAGCTGTCCGGCGCGCCGAACGCCTAAAGCCCGAATTTAAATTGTGCGCGCCTGACTACCCATGATCGCATACAACATCTAAGCACGAAATGTACACATACTTTGCGTGGCGGAGAGGTACCGCATCAAGCTGCTGAACGGTAGGTCGCTGGCTCGAAATCGGAGGAATTAAACTTCGCAGTTGTCTCGCCACGGTCGTTGACTGCCAGCAATCCATCGACCGATGATCGGGCGATGATGCATTTTTATTGATCGATTATCAATTATCGATTATAGAAAATCTGATATATGAGTAGCATTGGCTAATTGTTCGCTCCCAAGTCACGTGACTGCCCCGAACTGTTACGTCATCATTATGTGACCAGCCCTCTGGCGAATCATTGAAAGGTCCCGAAATGTTGGGGCCGAAATAATGGGACCGGGCCGGGCGTGGGCGTGGGAACGTGACGCACCCGGATATCCATATCGTAGATAGGATCGATGTCAGAAATTGGATACCCCGATATCGGTGACTTATCGATATCGGAAGCACGTATTGATTGGTTATTGGTTCCATCGTGTCCCATTATATACGACTCCATCGAATTCGTATTTCTCGTCAAAAGCAAGCAAAAATGACCACAGGCATGGTACAATGACGTCATCTGCAAGCAGCGCGTTCGTCATAGACCCTTTTCAAAAGTGCGCACCGGCCGGCTGCTGGGCCAGTTACCCGATTTCGGCAGTGTTTGATCGCGTACTCCGAGGACGTGTTGGACACGGAGCCTGCATCAGGGTTCGGCGTGAGCTCGGCTCGGCTCAAAACGAGCGCAAGTGCTGCGTCAACGTTCGGCAAAGCTCGGGTCCAATCACACGCCTCGTGCTCAAGAAATGGCGACCGCCAGTGTAACTTGGTAGGGTTCGGAAAAACGTATTTTCATCCGCGAAAAGGGAAATAACGTCAACACCGCATGTCGCTAGCAACTTTCCTGTGAGTAGAGGAAGGACGGAAAATGAGCATACTCACTTTGAAAGCTCGGAGACATCATACGCTGCGCTGATCGTCTGTTTCAATGCGGGCACGGTGACCGTCAGTGTGCGGTGCTTCTTGTCCATGGTCCCTCTCAAATCCTGTAAAAAGTCGTTTTTTCTTCGTTTTTTTGTTACACAACCTAGACGACACAACCGCGAGAAAAAAAAATGTTTGATAACGTTTTACGCGGTATCTTACGCGTAAAATGAACTTTTAACGCGGTATCTTTTTATTACCTTCGCCCCTTACCTGCGTATAACTTGACTGAAGGCTTTGCAGTATTAGCGAAATCAAGCCTACGGACTATCTACGAGAAATAGTCAGTAAAAAACGTTACCAGAATTATACGAAGCCTACGGCTAAAAAATAATACGTAAAAAAATATATATACGCCAGTTTGAAGGCTTATGGACCGCGTTTGCAATACGAGCTGCGAGGACGTGACAAAAGCGTCAATCGTCTGCAAGTGTCTCCGCCTCTTCCATCCGCTTTCTTCCTTGCCGCCCGAGAGCGCAACGCACGCGCACTGGGAACCAATTTGCGCGAGAAGCGTACACCATGAAACTGCAAGCTGTTCTGCATGGCTTCAGTTGCTTCCGCTTTTACATCTAGGCTCACGAGTGGTAAGCGTTTACAAGGAAACGCGACGCATTCGAGCATATACTCAAACGCAAATGAGTGAGCTGGCCTTAACACTCGTGTAATGGCGTGCAAGGAGTATAGCTCACCTCGAGCAACAGCGCAAAGTTCTCTTTGTCTTCCGAAGATCCTCCTCTTTGAGTCGGGTATCTCCAGTCGATGTCGATTCCGTCAAAGCCGTGGCGGTCCAAAAAACGTTCGACGCTGTCCACGAAGGTCCGGCGTCCACGCTGGCTGGACGCCATCTTGGAAAACCTTTGCGATCCCTCTGTCCAGCCTCCGACGGAGATGAGTGTCTTCAGGCCCCGACTTGACCTCTTCAGGGCGTTAAACCGTCTATACATTCCTTAAAAAGAGGCAGATATTAAAATCTAAAAAACCAACGTAGTCGAAAAAAAAAAAAAAAACTTACAAGAAGCACATGCACTAAAATAGAGTTCACACCCTCGAAGGTTTGTATCGAATCTTTCTATTGCTGACATACCGAAGCCGCACATACACCGCTCATAGGTAATGCAAAAGAAACGATGGTTGCCATAGACACGACAACATAATCATCTACAGAAACGCCTCAAGCATATCTGAATCACGTTTGCTTTATACAATTGTATGCCTCAAGCATGGCTAAAGACAGTTTTACAGCGAAGATGTTTATGGCTAGGGTTCCGTGGATTTTTCGTGTGCGCCAACAAAAACTCAGATCCCGAACTTGCTGCGAACTCGCTTCCTTCAATGAAATGGCTAATAGGTCTCATCACTTGGATATGCATTTTCAGTAGATTAGTTATTAATAGGCCCCACTTTCAAGATCAGTAGACTCTGAGGTAGATGATAAAGATTTCTCAAAAATTTTCCGCTGTGCGACCCGCGTCTGCCATGTCTATGCTCACACCGAAACTGAAGCCTACTTACCGAACCGAAGCCGAAAGCAAAACTTGCGCTTGCGAATACGTTCTCGAATATTCGATTAACTTCGAATATTCGTGATAAGACGAATATTCGAAAAGTACCAAAGACGTAGTTTACGAATCGAATACGAATATTAGATGTATAATATTTTATTTGTATTCGAAATTTTGAATATTCGCCCTCCCCTACTTATAACAAGTAAAAATCTGTATACCTAATTGTACCCACCTTTTAAATAACGGTTCTGCCCATCTTTTTTTTCGGTGGCTTTCTAATTTTTATTTCTATTTGATTGGTATGATTCGTTCATCTGCTTATTTGAATATCTTTGTTGTTTTTAGAAACCATAAAAAAACAAGGGTAACATTATTCATATTTTATGTCTACTTAGAGACTTCAAAATTGGAGAGCATCTATTTTATGTATGTGTGTGAGCGTGTTACCGCGTTCTTAGACAACAGTTCACTCACAAATCAAGAACCCAGGATGATTTCAGAGACGCTTTATGATTTTAAAAAATCCCGTTAAGGTTTCAATTACAATGTGGGCTGCCTTGGAAGCTTACCGTTGCCCTGGATCTCCAGATGTGGATCCATCGGTGCAATGACACCGTTCATGATCTTCGCGTACGCGTAGATGAGGTGGGTGCACGGTGTCGACTCCATCTGCTTGGCCGAGAACTTGCCATTGCCAACGCGATAGTGGGACCAGCTTGCCCAGTAGCACAGAAAAACCTTCTGGCTGGGCGCTACAATAAAAAAAAAATACTCGAATGAAGCAATGGTGAGGGTGCAGGATAGCTGGTGTAAATTGAACATAGTTGTAAACTCGAGACTGGGGATACGGACAAGAAACAAACAGAGAACGACACGTCCGTGTCGTTCTCTCCTTGTCGCTTCTCCGTATTTCCAGTGTAGGGTGTACAACTGTGCTCACATTTCTCGAGCATGATCGTGCAGACAAAGTCCGGCAACCACAGGACCCCTATACTGAGAGCACGGTGGGAGCTACGCTCTTGCGTAGCTCCAAACAAACCGCCTCCTTTTCATCACCTGATTCTGCTCTCTGAGCAAGGATGGGGGCCAGAGCGTGATCACATGTACTCTTAGAAAAAGGGTATCGATAGTCCTCCCTAAGGGGAGGAACGATCTTGTAACCTATGTTCCTTTAGAAAGGAAGAAACTTTCGTCCCTGAAGCAGGGGAGCAAAGTTCCTCCGTCATCTGCATCTCATTATTACGGCCCCGAATCGAGCAAATCGAGCTCAATAGGTTACATTCACTTCACGTCACTCGCTAGAGGCGCTGGCATCGGCCACCACGGTCGCCATCTTCGAGGTCTCTTTATATCCCACGTACGTGTCAGGTATCGTCTGGCGGTGCCTTATGCAGCATAATTTAGCAGTATTTTACAACTTTAAAGGGTCTTTTTGGCCGCAACTACGGGTTCTTTTTATACTTTGGTGCTTTTGAAGCGCCGTGGGAATAATTCGTCTATGATGTGTGTTTTAGTTCATTTTTGTCGCTATCAAAGTTGTCCACCGCGGCCGCGTTGCTCCATCGGCTCCATGCATCTCTCCGTGTCGCGCGCTGTGCCCACGACGTTAGCTCTTTTGCAAGAACTATGATTTTTCTACTTTGGTGTTTTTTAGCACGGTGTGATTACTCTTTATTTTGTTTTGCTAGTTTTTTTATCGTTTTTTCTCGAGCGGATTTTCTGCTCTACGGCCGTGTAACCGTATACAGCTCCATCGTCTCCGTGTCGTACGTCGTGCCTTCGGTGTTCGTTCCCGTGCAGAAACATACCCTGTGGCTCATCGAGCGCGCAGCTAATGAAAAACGCGAATTTTTTATTAGCCCAAACGATTTAAAAGCCCTATGTAAGCAATTTGGCGAGCGATGAGACAAGTGACGGCGACCCGCTTCGCTGTCGCTCGGTCACTCGCACGACGAAGCAAACCGCATGAAAACAACGGGAGAAAACGACCAAGACGATAAGCGCTAAGTTTTCTAGAAATACAAAAACCGAGCTACGCGACGAGCGACAGTGAAGGGTGAATCGCATGTAAGCGATTTAGCGAGGGACGGCGACAGCGACGGCAGTCGGCGACGAGCGACGGAGGTTTTTCAGGGTCGCTCGTCGCGTCGCTCGGTTTTTGGATTTCTAGAAATCGTCGCTCATCGCCTTGGTCGCGTGCTCCCGTCTCTTTCATGCGGTTGGCCTCGTCGCGCGAGTGACCGAGCGACAGCAAAGCGGGCCGTCGTCGCTTGTCTCGTCGGGTTCGCCGTCGCTCGCTAAATTGTTTACATGCGATTCAGCCTTTCCACACGGTACCCGGCGGCAACAAGAAAATTAAAACGGCCCACCCCCGAGATAAACTTTTTTTATCTTTTCTGTTCAACGAAGCTTCTTTACCAATATGAAATTAGCACACACTACCAACGGGCGACCGCGTACCCAAGCCAGTCAAACCGCGACCTCGAAGATGGCAGATCGACAGTGGCGCTCCCTGGCAAAATCGAACCTACAGGCTCACTGAATACCACCTATAAGGATTAATAAGGGCGCTACGTCTCCTTTACGGGACTAGAGGAGCAGCAAATAAAAGCGTAACACGAGCTTTTCGCGAACTGTGTCAGTATCAGTATCAGTAACGCGTTCCTTTTATTTTGAGGTAACGTAGGTCGGTAACGCGTTACATTTATTTGCAAGTAACGAGTAACGTATTTAGTTACTTTTTTTCGGTAACGCATACAACACTCGCTCGAAGCCGCTGTTTATCGCGTAGCGTGAACGAGCGTGAAATCGCTTGCCACCAGATGGCAGTGTCAAGCAGAGCAAGTAGCTAGGTTAGGTGGCGCTAGGTACCGCCAAATGCATGTTCTACAAAAAAAAATATTTTTATTTTCTCACGCCATCGTTGCGCTTCGGGATCTTCGGGAATCTCTATTATACAGACATGTCGACACATTACGCATACTTTAAGCATCAGCTGAACATACATTGAGCGGATACACATACATGGCACTTACAAACATCAATACAACGGCACACTAACCCGATCACTACACCCGAGCTCTGCGTTTCTGTCTTTTATACTGATCGTTTTTAACGTACGGAATTTCTCGGTGAGCGCCTAAGCAATAAAAATATTCCCGGCATGTTGATTTGTTTCTAGTAATGTTATACCTATGAGAATATTTTGAATGGCTCAGGGGATTAATCTCTTAAAAAAAGGAAAACGCTCGACCATGCCGTAATTACTTGAAAGCCAGTAAATCAAGCCGCTTCAATGCGATTCCAAGCCACGAGTTTGTTTCCCCGCACCTCACGTCGTAACCAGTATTTCTATTGTAGTGTTCGTTTTTCTATTTGTGATGTTCGCGCACGGCTCCAATTGTCGTCTTGAATTAATTCCTGAAGAGCGGATATTCACTCAGCTGGAGGTGATGCTTCACGGGCAGAGAAATCGCTTTTCGATCAACTTGAATGCAGTCAAAGCCGCGACTTGTGGGAGGTGTTAAGTGTATGGAGCTACGCCGTGGCGATCTCGAACGCTTCTAGCACTTAGAGTTCCTGTATAGGCTCCCTACGGGAGCCTATGCAGGACTAGCGATTGCGGGAAGGCTCCCGCGCCATTTTTACGCCTCTTATCTATCCCCAGCCTTGTACCTGCTCCACGAGCGGTAACTTTAGTGCGCTACTACTCTACTCACGCGCTCAAAGTCTCTCTGAAAATGACTGATATAGTGGTTTTCGATAACGCTCAGCAACTTTCTAATTGGAACCATGTGTCTACTTCCACTAATTAAAAAGTTAATAAACAAATTTTAACTAATTAGTTGGCTAATTAGTATGTTTCTGGCAATTCCTGACGTCCCCCGTGGCTGGTAGTTTCTTCCCGAAGGCAATTTTTTTCTTTTACAAACGCCCTCGTGTCTAAGATTTTTTAAAGTCTTCGCAAAAACACCCGGTATATATATATATATATATATACTTCTATAAAAATATCCAGTATATTGACTGTTGTAATTAAAACACTGACTAGGTGGCGTAAGCTGCCATCTGATTCAAAGGGTTGAGCCGCATTAATCCATGCGTTTATCCTATATACTCATGCAGGTGGTCCGACCTTCAAAAAGCTGCGCGTGCGGAGTGCCTACATCGCCCGTGGGAAAACGCTCTTATTTACTTATTTAATATTTATTAAACTTTGCGTCGATTGGAGTGTGTGCGGAAAACTCACTTCTTTGTGCACTGGCGCTGCACGCGACGGCGGCCAATGACAAAATAACGATTGCTGCGTTCATAGCCCTCATACCGAAGTCCAACCGCAAGATGAGAGTTCTGCACTGAAAAAAAAAAAAAAAGATAAAGATGTTTCAGAGACACGAAAATGAACAACGTGAAACATTTCCAAGTCACGAAGGAAAAAAAAAATCAGCTGTTTAACTTTGCTAAGGCTTTGGCTGGCGAGGAAACGTATTACCTGCTCTTTAATGTTACACACAAAATGAAAAACCTGAAGCGTCTATACTTTACCGGAAATCACTTGAAAGGGCGAGTCGCTAAGAGCTACGGAGGAGGCGAACGCCGATACTCGTGACGTATTTCGGTACAACAAACAGTTTGTGACACTTAACGTAACGTTTGGCAATGCTTAGTGTCAGAAAGTCGACTGTTTTAAGAACTCAGAACATATTATCAGCCTAGTCATTCTCCGAGCTGCCTTCGTACGTCTCAGTCACTGGCTGCTCTTGCGAGTGGTTTCCCAGAGGGGCTCCAGATTTCTTTAAACATCGAGATTTGTTTATTTGCAAATATTTGAGGATGCTTATTCGGACTATTGAGGATGATTGGCTTAGTGTATAATAGCTTCGAAATATTGCGTCAATTTAAGAACCAAACCACATAGCGCACTTTCCGACCCATATAAGTCGCACGCCATTGCATAACCGACGATCGTTTTCAAGAAAGAAAAAAAATGTTGGCATATGAGTGGTGCTTGCGACTAAGTCGCACTTTGTATACGGTTGGCGCGGTGCCGCAGCCGCTAACCTATCCGACAGGCATCTGACCGTCTTCGGACCTCCAGAAGAGCAGGCGACCATTGGCGGGTGCTCTGCCGTTATTATTATTTTTTTTTAAATTTTTATTGTATATTTTTATACGGCCCTACATGTTTAATATTATAGGTCCATACTTCTTTAAAAGGCAACGCATATAACTCGCATCCTTCCAAAGAGCCCCGGTCACACTAATAATATATCATAAAAACGGTGGTCTGCAGACGCTATAGGAGGCCTTCCTTGTATTACGGTCAAATCGGTCATGCAGAAACTGCCTGCAGGCATGTTGGAAACACGCATACGTGTGAAACAAATCATGCTTCGAAAACTGCTCTGTCATCGTGTCTGCAACCAACACCGTGGTCTTTCAATAATGTGTTTACATCTTGACTGCGGCCTAAGGAGTGCGTAAGAAACGCCTAAGTCGCACCGTTGGGCAAGACATAATTGGTTGTCGACGTTTAGCGCACTCAAAAAACTGTCAATCAAGCATTCACACACCCATAAAACTGTCAATCAAGCATTCACACACCCACATATATATATATATATATATATATATATATATATATATATATATATATATATATATATATATATATATATGTTCGATAGTAAAATGTGTTACGCGGTCCTTTTTTTATAGTTTCAGATTATATAGATTTGAGTACCTCTATTCTCGGGTTTCCTGGTCTCAAGTGCGTCTATTTTTCTCGTGTGCATTTGAGGTTAGGCAACAAAAACGACGACAGTTTATTGGCAACGATACGCTCGCATCGTTTCCTGGCGAATATGCAGCTATGAACTTTTATGTGATCACGGATGGTTGTACTTTTTTTGAGTGCTTTATGGTTTGGCTACATACTATACATTCACAGCGCTGCGCCAATGAAGAGCTATGGGGGAGGAAAAACAACTTTTTTGTGGGTGAGCGTAGCAAAGTTCACCGTTTCACCGTAATGTCGCTAGTACTAGGGAACGCTACAGGCTAGTTGAAGATACCCAAGTTAAGCGCGCCTATGTTTCCTGCGCCCAAGTTGCAGGCACCCAAGTTGGAGGCACCCAAGTATACTGTAGCGCGAGCGTGCACGTTTCATCATACTGGTATTATTGGTTGTAGCATTTTTAGCCGCGCGAAACGCGAATATGAGGTTTAGCGTTTATCACTACCAAGATGTTTTAAGTGGCGACCTGTTATGGCATTTCTTCGTGACGTCGCAATAAATTGTTTTCACTTTGCCGTGATGTCACGAGTTACGAACCTGGCTACTTTTCATCAGTTGCACGCGACAAGTTTGGTGCTGTGCGGCAAAAAAGCAGGGTGGAAGCTTAGGCTCGTCGTATGTCCAAACCGGCCCTTTCAAAGATGATAGAGTGAAATTGCTTTTTACCCGTCGTTGAATTCATAATTATTCCCACTAATACTCCAGTGACACAGGCACCCGAACCGCGGTTATGCCTGACCAATAGTGCGCGAGTAAAAATTTTACTTACGATGCTGCTTTCAGTGAGCCTTCTTTGCTGACCCCAAAAAAGAATGACCTTTAACGGGGAGCAGCATTGTAATATATAGGGCTGAAGAACAATCCTATCTAGGTTTTTTTCTCATATATTTACTGTAAAACGCTGACACAAGTCTTTTACCATGGCTGCTGCAAAATAATATATTTTCGGCACGGATACTGTTTGTGCTTTGGCAACAAGGCCATGATATAGTTTGCGCCTGACTCGTTTGTTATCTAACGGGTTGCTAAGATAGACAGTGCGATGACCGAAAGCGGTTGGGATGTTGACCAGAGTTTGTGATTAAGATGTGTCCATTGCGAACTTCTGTTTTATTATGAATTCATTGCTTTTCGTCATTTGGGAGGTATTATGAACGTTTTGGTGAAGCCGCAATTGTGCCCATTTCTGCCTTGGAGGAGCAATTCTGATTTCAGTCTTCAAGCATATTAGAGAAAGCGCTAAGCTCGGTAACCGATAATAGAAGAATTTTTAGTGGCAGCAGTTTATACAAGTGTTCCTGGCATGTGTAACATGGTAATCTAAATAGAAAAAAACGAGAACTTGCTGATTTGTTCGTCTCATTTTTTCAGCTTGCGTGAAGTCAGAACGTAGGTCTGACTTGGATACGTTGATTTTGTACAAGGTGGAAAAACATAATACTCTTTTTGAAGAGATAAAATAAATCAAAATTATTTTATATAAATCAATTTTATTTTATTTAAATTTAATACATTTTATTAGTAGCCAGAAAATAGCGATTCCTTATTACTAAATGAATTTTTCAACATGGCAGATTGATTGACTAATTCGTCCGATCACAGAGAACGATGGGGACGAAAGAATTACTGTAATTACTGCACAGTTTAATACTAACTTTAAATTGCTGTAATCCTGACGATGCTAGTACAAAATGGCTGGATATTTTAGTTAGTTACAAAGTTTTATTTGAATTATCTTTTCAAATTTTAGCTTGATTGCAAATATAAAACTGCTTTTCTAGATTTTTTTGTTTTTTTTTTCGTTTGCGCTTTGATTATGTTGCAATAGGACGTTACGTTACTGACGAAGTTGAAGGAGAAATCGAGCTCAACGCTCAGGTTTTCTCAGAAAAACTGAAGGCATTAAAAACTGTAATAAATTAAAAGGAACCACTATATCATCCAATTACGATTTTTGGAAGAGAACTCTGGCAGAAAGGAGCAAGTTTTGGTACAAATCTGGCGACTTCAAAGTAAGAGGGCGTAAATTAGTTCTAGATTATAATAAACTACGAGTTGATGACGACCTCTATGATCGGGAGGAGTAAAATGACCGTCTAAAGTGCATCCGCTCTAAAAACGTCAGAACGATGTCGATTGACTTGAATTGAAACAGTTACGTTTTGTATTATTAAATGCCCCAAATATCGGCAATAAAGTTCACGAACTAAAGGAAATTATACTTAAATACAACACGCCGAAAATAGCAATCGCAGAAACATGGCTGTCAGCAGATATTTCTGATGCCGAAGTTACTCCACCGACTCAGAAAATAAACAGGCGCGATGGCTCTCCAGAAGGGGTTGTTGCCTTGATAGTAAAAACGGAACTCTAATGTGTTATCTTAAAAAAATAAATAACTGCCGATAAATGTGTATGTTGCCAAATGGACTATCATGGGTTTTCGTCTCTCGTTGGTGTTGTCTATCGCCCCCATCTTCCGCCGAGTCAATTCTAGAGAACAATCATTTTCACATGCAAAAAATATACAAGCCTAGTACAAATACTGTACTGGCGGGTGATTTCCTGTCAATTAACTGATCGACTTTCCAGCCTGGCTTAACTGAGGTTAAAATTGCAACTTACTACTCGAATTGATGCTCAGTTTTATTCTGACTGAGCTTTTTACTCAAGTTGTTTGTATTTTCCAAAATAGCAATAACACACTGGATCTCATTTTTGTTGGAAACTTTCCGGAGGACACTGACGTCAGCGTTCACGATAGAATTTATGAGCACAAGCTTGTTTTCTTTACGACGAATTTTTGCCCAATAGAAATGGACTACGATGGTAAACGTGTCTAACTTTGCCGCTGCAGATGATGACGCTATTAAAGATACTCTTGATTTGAACTTCAGCGACTTTGAGATGGAGGGTGACATTTGAAGATCATGGAACGGTTTCGTATTTATTATCGCAAAGAGCCTTCAAAGATATTTACCAAATGTAGTAAAAAAGTAACATCAGAACGCCTGGATAAGAAGACATAATATATCTTAAAAGAACATGGTCTAATAAACGGAGAGCAAATAGTAAAAATGCTAATGTCATACCTTCCCTCAGTGACGCTGAAACAAAACAAAAACAAAAGAATAAGGACGGCAAGCGATAATAATAATAATAATAATAATAATTCTTTATTTTCTGTGCCCACAAACAACTTTTCAGTCTCCACTGTGGTGCACAAAATAATAAAATACAAATACCGCAAAAACTAAAATATTCAATACAAATACCACAAAAAATCTCATTCTAGGCGAAAGACATCCATTCACGAACAAGCAAGGCAAATTCCCGAAGACACATGAAAATATCCAGGTGGCGTTCCTTATTGAAAGCCAATTGAATCCGCGACAAAAGGGATGCAAGGGACAAGGAAGATGGATAAAACGTGAATTCATTCCGGCTGGCTCTTGATGGAACATGGAAGTCAATGGATCGTAGTAAATCAATTGACATGACGTGACCATGAACAACTTTATGAAGAAAAAAATGAAAGCCATTTACAATTCCCTGTAA